GTGACTTTTCTTAGGGTGGAAGAGAGTGTTTGTAGTGAGTTGGAAAAGAGCTTGAGATCAGAGAAATGCAAATCAAAACAACTCTGAGGTACCACATCACACCTATTAGATTGGCCAACATGACAAAACAGGGCAATGATAAATGTTGGAGAAGATGTGGGAAAATTGGAACACTAATGCATTGTTTGTGGAGTTGTGAACTGATCCAACCATTCTGGAGAGCAATTTGGAACTATGCCCATAGGGTTATAAAAATATGCATACCCTTTGACCCAGCAATAGCACTATCCCAAAGAGATCATACAAATCCCACATGTACAAAAATATTCACAGCAGCTCTTTTTGTGGGCACAAAGAATTGGAAATTGAGAGGACGCCCATCAATTGGGGAATGGCGGAGCAAGCTGTGGTATATGAATGTAATGGAATACTATCGTGCTATGGGAAATGAACAAGCTGACTTCAGAAAAACCTGGAAAGACTTATATGGTCTGATGGTGAGTGAAGTGAACAGAACCAAGAGAACATTGTACACAGTAACAACCACGTTGTGTAATGACTAACTTTGACAGACTTAGCTCCTCTCAGCAATGCAAGGATCTAAGACATCTCCAAAGGCCTCGTGATGGAAAATGAAATCCACATCCGAAGAAAGAACTACGGAATTTGAATGCAGATCGAAGAATACTATGCTATTTTTTCCCCTCCTGTTGAGTTTTGTTTCCTTTTTCTGCTGCTTCCTTCCATTGTTCTAATTCTTCCTTACAACATGACTAATGTGAAAATGTTTAATAGGAATTTATATGTATAGCCTATATCAGATTGTGTGCCGTCTTGGGGAGGGTGGTGGGGAGGAAGGGGGAGAAAAATTTTTAACTCAAAAGCATATGGAAGTGATTGTTGATAAATCAAAATTAATTAATTAAAAAAAAACCAAGGCAATTGTGGGCATCATGTTTTACAAAATCTCTTTGCCTGACAAAATGGATCTGGGCAAGAATGTGAGAGGATCTTAGGATCTGAGCATTATAATGATGAGCTCTTCTAAGAGAGATTCTTGTGATCTTTTGACTTTATTTGGCTCTTTAATCTTAAGATACTTCTATTACCTTAAAAAAGATCACTTGATTACATCTGTGCCTTAGGGGGGAAAAAAACAACTAATGAATGACTCCAAAAAAGTAAGACATACATTTTTGGAAATGTGAGAATTTGTTTTGCTTGTTTTGACTGTTATGGTTATCTTTTTCTTTTCTTTTTTTTTCTAATGCAAAAGATATGAAGGAGGCAGAGAGAAAATAAATAGGCATTAATTGAAATAAAAGTTAATTAAAAAAAAAGAGCTCGATCTCCAATAGATAAGGAAAAACTGGAGATAAGGGAGAAAGGGAATGATTGTGAGGACAGTCTGCCAGAAGAAACTGGAGAGGATCTAGGGTACGTGGGCTGGGGGGAGGGTTGGCCTTGGTCAAGAGGGTGTCGTCTTCACCAGAAATCATGGTCAAGGAAAAGAAAAAGAAGGACGGTGTCACTGGGCTGAGGGATGATGACAGATTATAAAAAGGGGAAAAAGAAGTACAAATTCTTCTCAGTGAAGGGTGGAGTGAGGTCTTTAGCTGTGGAGAGACAGGGGCCATATCTTCTCACAGAAGACTTCCTATGTTTCTCAGAATTACTTTGTCATTAATATTATATAATTGGAAAGGCAACGATTATAACCACTTCCTAAAGTTGAACCAATGTCAGCTAATCACAGACCTTCTTCTGCACATTTAAAACAGGTCCGTGTTCTCCCCCATGTCATTCTTGGCTTCTGGATCTGCTAAGAAAGATGTCTTTGGGTCTTGGGGCTTCCTTACTATGGCAACTATGAAGGTATTTTCATTGGCTCTTTTGTCTTTTTTTCCACCTACAAGCCATGCTGTCGGCATCAAGAGCAGTTTTAATCACTCAGTGACTTAAGTACAATCCTCACGCTCTTCAATCACAACTTGATTCCTGCTGGTTAAAATAAAATAAATTTCATTCTTTGTGATGTTTCTTAGTGTGAAGTTTATCCATCATGTCTGGCCTGGCAAGGTCTTTTCTTGAGCCTCTGAAACAGATGTCACCACATAAACTATGATTATTTTCATGACAACCCTTTTGAAAAAGTTATGAGCACAGCACTGCACGGTGACCAACTGTCTCCTGCAATGTTTACTGTTGCCTTGTGCATACAATAAGACAATTCAAACAACGTCTGTATTTGCTTCTCTACCCAAGCATCCTGCCCTGAACCTGGCAAAATGCAGGTGCTTAAAAAATGCTATTTGAGCGACTGATCCTCACTGAGGCAGGCGGTGAAACGGCTAGAGCACTAGGCCTGGATTCAGAAAGATTCAAAATCAAATCCAGTCTTAGGCACTTACCAGCCCTGTGACCCCAAGAAAGTCATTTAACTTGTTTGCCTCAGTTTCCTCAAGTGGAAAATGGGGATAACAGCAGAACCTCCCTCCTAGGGCTCTTGTGAGGATCAGCTGAGTTATTTATGAGATGCGTAGATAGTCAGGGCTTAATAAATGCTTGTTTTCTTGCTTTTTACTTATATCTCCCCATGTAACCCAAGGCACATTAGCTTTTCCGGCTGCCTGGTCAGACTGATGACTACTCCTGGACTTTGTAATCCCCTAAACCCTCCAGATCTTATTCAAACTTTTCTTGGTGGTACTTCCCTGATCTTGTATTTGGGAAGTTGATTTTTTTTTATTTTTTACCCAAGGGTAAGAGTTTACCTTTACCTCTATTGATTTTCTTGTTCCATTCAGCCCAGTGCTTAAGCCTACAAAAGGCCATCGTAATTCTTTTATACCAAAGTTCCAGATTTGACTAGTGTTACGTGAATTTCTTAGTCAAACCTAGGAAGTGCCATGGCTTCTGGCTTCGACGAGGAAGTCTGTCATCCTCCACTCAGGGAGGGATCTGCTTCCCTGAAAGGATCGCCTTTCCCTTATCATCTGGGTCGGCAACATTCCTCATACAGTGGATGCTCCATGGCCTTCTCAGTCCACTGGTTCTTGGACTCCGTTTTTGGATGTTTTTTTGCAACATGTTCACCCTGTGAGTCATGAGCACCCAGATGTGGTCTTCTCAGTCACCCTAGGGTCACTGAACCTGGGTGAGCAGAGGTAAAAAACGGGCACAACTTTGAGTTCAAAACCTATTTCATTCAATGGAAATCAACACACATAATATGTACCTCTCTTCTAGTTAACACGGTACCTTCTGGTCTACTGCTGTGTTCTCCATATCTGGTCTGACTTGGGGCAGGCCCTAAGTAATATATGTCAAGTGAGGGGTAGAGTGGTATGTCTGGGAGGGGATGCAGGGCTATCTCTCCTAGAATGCTGGGTTCAGGTGTTCAAAGGACAGAAAGTACAGAAAGGCCTTTGCCTAAGAAACAAAAGAGTGAGAACAGGAACTTCTGGCATCCAAGAAAAAACCTGAAGGGCTGAACCCAACCTTGAATAGAGACCAGATCTGCCAGTGGGGAAAATAAACACCACCCTAGTGTCAAAGAAAAAGCACAGAGTCTGAGTTCCAACAGGCCCAACCAAAAAGATGAAGTTTTTGGAAGACCAGAATAACTGAAAAACATCCTGACTGGATCAAGCCAAGGTAGGACAGTTCTCTATTTGTACAAAAATATTTACAGCAGCTTTTCTTGTGGTAGCAAAGAACTGGAAATTGAAGGAATGCCCATCAATTGGGGAATGGCTGAACACGCTGTACATGATTGTGATGGAATACTACCGTGCTATGAGAAATGACGAGCAGGATGCTCTCAGAAAAACCTGGAAAGACCTACATGAACTGATGTAAAGTGAAATGAGCAGACCCAGGAGAACATCGTATACAATAACAGCAATGTTGCATCATGACCAACTGTGAAAGAATGAGTCAAGACAATTCCGAAGGACTCATGTCAAAAAATGTTATCCAGACTAACATTGACAGACTTAGCCTTCTCAGCAATTCAAGGATTTCCAAAGGTCTCATGATGGAAAATGCTATCCACAACCAAAGAAAGACCTATAGAGTTTGAATGCAGATCAAAGCATACTATTTGCTATTTTTTTCTTTTTTTTTTTGTTTTCTCTTTCTTGTAGTTCCTCTTATTGTTTCTAATTCTTCCTTACAACATCACTAATGTGAAAATATGTTTAATAGGAATATTATATATGTTTAATAGGAATAATAGGAAATCTGTATAGCCTGTATCAGATGCATGCTGCCTTGGGAAGGGGGGGCGGAGAAAAACTTAAAACTCAAAAGCTTATGGAGAGGGGCAGTTAGGTGGCGCAGTGCATAGAGCACAGGCTCTGAAGTCAGAGGACCTAAGTTCAAATCTGGCCACAGACCAAACACTTGACACTTACTAGCTGTGTGATCCTGGGCAAGTCACTTAACCCTAATTGCCTTTAAAAATAAAAAAGCTTATGGAAATGATTGTTGATAAATCAAAATAAATTTAAAAAAATTTTTTAATGTAAGCCCCTTGAGGGCAGGTACTGTCTCTCTTTTGTATTTGTACTGAGCATTTATTCAAGTTCCTGGCACATATTAAGTGCTTAATAAATGCTTTTTTCCATTAAAAAAAATGTTATCCACCTCCACAGAAAAGAGTGATGGGGTCTGAATGCAGATCAAAGAATACTACTCACTTTCTGTATTTTTTCAGCATTTGGGTCTTTTTTGTCTACTTTCGTTTACAACATGACTAATATGAAAATGTTTTGCATGATTGTACATGTATAACTTATAGCAAATTGCTTGCCATCTCAGGGAAGAGGGAGAAGAGGGAGGGAATCTGGAACTCAAAATTTTTAAAAATAAATGTTTAAAACTGTTTTTACATGCAATTAGGAAAATAATATTATTTTAAAAAAAGACAGAGAGGAAAAAGGGATAGTCCTCCCTCACCCCTCCCTATCCCTTCCCCCCTCCCATTGCCTTGGTACCTTTTTCATCTCCAACATGCCTGGTTCTGAGGTAGGAGAAAGACCCTCTGTTGCCTTCCCTTAATTGGACCAGCCTTCAACATGACAAGGATTCCTAGGCTAGGATAAAGCTGGAGGTTGCCTGCAGGGAGCTCTGGGACAGGTGTGAAGGAGTTGGACACTAAAAAAAAAAAAGGGAGAGGAGAGCCCTTAAATCAGTAGGAGGAGGGCATATTATCCAGATCCTCTGCCTCTCCCCATTTATTCTCCTCAGTTTGTCACAAGGTCACCTGACTCAATATATTCCTCTCAAAAATTCTAAGCCCTCACCTTTTTTATCACCTGAGTCAAGAATCGTTGGAATTACAGCCCAGCCCAGCCCAGAGGCTCTCATCATTTCATAGCTTATTGATTCTATCCTGGAAAGGAAGTAGCGCACGAAGGAACTCTGTCCCTAAAGATTGGAGTCAAGGCCCTGTTTTTACTTCACCTTTACAACAGAGTGAGTGGATGCATCTGGATCCATACACAGGTTCCTGGCTGCCCAGAACACCCCTGGGATGCCAGTCTATCCTCCACAGAGCTGCCAAAGTGATTGCCCATCAGTGCAGATCTGACTACATCATTTCCTTTTCCAATAAATGCCAGTGGCCTCTAGTTGCCTCTGGGATGAAACAAACTCTAGACCACACACAGACACACACCACCACTCACACACACACTACTCACACACACACACAAAACCACTCATACTCATACACACACACATACCCCATCACTCATACATACACACACAAAACCACTCATACACACACACACACTACTCACACAAAACCACTCATACAAACCCACACTCCCACCCTTCACACATACCACCACCCACACACACACCACCACTCACACATATCACACACATACACAAAACCACTCATACTCATACAAGCACATACTCCCACCCTTCACTCATACCATACTCCCACACACACACCATCACTCATACATACACATACAAAACCACTCATACACACACCCTTCACACATACCACCGCACACACACACTACTCATACAAACACACACTCACACACACACACACACAAAACCACTCATACTCACACTCACTCACCCCCCACCCCCGGGAACCCTAGGAGTGAGGACTGTGCACGGGGCTGTGTGACACAGGGGCTGCCCCTCTTGGCCAGGCCGCGAGCTACAGTTCAGGTGGGAAGGGCACGGGGGCCTAGCTTTCAGGGTACCACCGCCCATTGTTCAGGATGCTCCTCCCCCCCAAAACTCCTCGACTCTCCCTCCCCGCTCCCCGCTAAGACCCGCACTTGGCCCACGCTGGGGCTCGGACCCGGGGCCGACTTGGCCGATTCAGAGGCTGTCCGCCGGCCAAGGAGGCACCAAAGCTCCCCCCCGGGAGGGCGGGGCTGGCAGGGGGTGTGGCAGAGAAAGGCAGGTGAACTTTGGTCCCAGATCGGGGCTGGAAGCCACAGCGCCCACAGCGCTGCGCCGCCGGGCTGTGCGACCTCGGGCCGCCGGCCGAGCTGCTGCACCCCGCCTCGGATAACTGGACGAACTGCGCCCCCCCACCCCCCAACGCTGCTCTAGTCTCGGACAACCGTACGGCTGCCCCGAGCCGAGTCTGATCCTGGGCCGCTGCCTGAACCCCAGACCCTCGGACAGCGCAGTGCCGCCCCCGTAACCCCCAGCCAGCCCAAGGCCCTGCCCGTGGTTCCGCCCATGCCGCTCCAGACCCCAGCCCCGCCCTGCGGGACGCCCAAGGGAGCCGAGGCTCCGCAGCCACAGCCTCAACCACAGCAGGAGGGGGGAGAAGAGCGGCGGGACGCAGGCTCCGTTTCTGCGCAGGAGCGGCTCAGCCCGCGGGACGGGCAAGAGGGCGCAGGCGCGAGCGCGGACGCAGACGCGGAAAAGTGCGCGGGCACGTCCGAGCCGCGGAGGCGCGCGGGCGAGGCCTCGGCGGAGGCGGAGAGCTCGGTGTGGCAGTGGCTGCTGCTGGCCGCGCTGCGGCCCTGGCGGCAGCCCCCGAACTACAGCCAAGCCGCTGAGGGGCTGGCTCAGGCCCCGCTCCTGCCCCCGAGCCCGGCTCGCGCTCCCGCCGCCGCCGCGCGCTGTTGTCATGGAGGATCCAAGATGGCGGCGGTGGCGTACACGCGCGGGCGGCGCGAGATCAACCAGTACTTCAGTGTGAGCAGCGCCAAGGGGCTCGCGCTGGCCGCCGTACTGCTGCTGGCCGCCGGTCACGCGGCGCTGCGCCACTATCCGGGTGAGCGGGACCGCTGGGCGAGCGGGCGGGCCACCGAGGGCGGGCGGGCCGGGACTCCCAGTGCGCGTGCGCGGCCGAGCGAGCTCGCCCTCCCGCCCCGGCGCGCGTGCGCGGCCGCGGGAAAACCACCCCCAGCCTCACTCTCTGAGCCTCGCCATGGACCTAATGCGCGTGCGCAAAGCGCGAGCTCATCCTCCCGCCCCAGCACGCGTGTGCGGCAGCGCGCTCCCCACCTTTTTCCTCGCGTGCGCGCACGTAGCCCGCGTCCCTGCCTCCCTCTCTCCTCTCACCCTCTTGCTCCACCTGCTGTCCACAGCGATCGTCTACACAGGCTCCTGATGTTTTGGCTGCCAGCCCTCATCCTCTCCCTTGACCCCATTGACCGCCCGCTTTTCTCCCTAGGTTTGCTGGATGCTCCAGAGTGACCAGTGGTCTCCTCTTGGTTCTCTCCGCAGCCTTGGCCACTCTTGGTCACTCCTCCTGGACACTCTTCTCCCTAGGTTTGCTGGCCCTGGTTCTTCTGTCCAGAGTGCCCTCTCCAAAGTGACCAGTGGCCTCGTAAGTGGTCAGACCCAAGGTCTCCCTCTCCTCCTGGACACTGTCTTCTCCCTAGGTTTGCTGGACTCTCCTCTGTCCGGGTTCTCCTTCAGACCACGCCCTTTGACTGAAGGTGTCCTTCAGGTTCTGTTCTGGGTCCTCTTCTCTTTTCCCTCTAGACTACTTCCCTTGGTGATCTCAGCTCCTATGGATCTAGTTATCATCTAGTGATTCTCATCTACCTTTCCTGGCCCAGTTTCTCTGCTGACCTCCATTCTCTCATCTTAAACTCAATAGGTCTAAAGTAAAACTCTTTGTCTTTCCCCAAACCCTCCCTGCCTCTTCCCTTTCCTGTTACTGTAGAGGGCACTGCCATCCTCCCAGACCCTAGATCCAATATGGTGCCAAGGCGTGTTCTGTCTATGAGACAGCTTACCTCTCTCCCCTTTCCCACCACTCTTGCTGCAGGTCTAGTTCAGGTCCTTAGCACCTTTTGACTAATTGGTCTTCCTCATTCTAATCTCCTCTTCTCTTAAAGCCAGGGTTTAGCCATGTCATTCCCCTCTTCAAGAAGCTTCACTTGTTCCATCTTGCCTTCAAGATAAAAGAAATTTTTCTGGTCAGTATTTAAAGCCCTTTGCAGTCTGACTCCATCCTGCCTTCCCAGACTTAATGAACATTATGTTTCTTAGCACACTCTCTGTTTCCCCTAAACGGACCCTTTGGCCATTCCCCATAGCAGTTAGTTACCAAGTATTTTTATTAAAGACTCACTGTGTCCCAGACACTGTGCTAAGCATGAAGATACAAAGACTGAAGCAAACCAAGCCCTTCTGTTACATGACAGTCCATCTCTCCCCTGGGTGCCTCTGCCAGACTGTTCCCTACAAAACTCTCCCTTTCCTCTATTTAGGGATCCCACGCAAATTTTCTTCTGATTTGGGGATTTCTGGCAGCTTTTTAATTTGAATTGGGTAGACCAAGTGAAACCTCCCATTCAGGGTGGTTCAGTAAAATTTCGTCTTTTCTTTTTAGTTTATGATGAGTTCAAATCTTTCCTGAGACGCTTTGTAGCAGGGTGACCCTGGACAAGTCACTTAACCACTGTTTGCCTCAGTCTCCTCAAGTGTAAAATGGGGATGAGAATGGCCCCTCCCTCTCAGAGTTGTTGGGAGAATCATATGAGATAATCTTTATGTAATGCTTGGCAAGCCTTGAAGCACTGTAGAAATGAGCTCCAGCAACAACATTATTAGAGGTCACTTGCCCAGAATAAGCCTTTTGTTGCAACCTAATTTCTTGCAGTGGACAAGATGTGGTAGTGACTAGTCTGGCAGTTGCTCTTCCAGGCTCTGCTTTGGGGGCAGTCCTATTGAGCAGCTGCTTCTGACCCTCTGTGAGTGCAGTAAAACCCAGGCCAAAAATGAGGGGCTTAAGAATCATGCTGTTGGGGGCAGCTAGGTGGTGCAATGGATGGAGCTCTGGCCCTGAAGTCAGGAGGACCTGAGCTCAAATCCAGCCTCAGACACTTGACACTTATTAGCTGTGTGACCCTGGACAAGTCACTTAACCCCAATTGCCTCACCAAAAAGCAATCAATCAATCAATAAGTAAGTAAGTAAAAGAATCATGCTGTCAACTGGATTTGAATGTGACTTTCCGACTTCATGGTAGGGTGTTTCCTCATTCGTCCTTATTTGGTAGTGGACCAGGAGTCCAGCAAAGGTGAAGAGGGGCTGCTAGCCCTTATTAGTATGTGAAGAACTTACTGATGCCGAGCAGACCCTTTCCCACGTCAAAGGCGGAAAACTGCCCACTAGTGTGGACAGTTGGGCCAGTACTTGTGCCCTTTGCATTGATTTTGCTGTGGCCATGGCCTCAGTTCATTGGGTAATTGCTAGCCCTTCAATCCCACCTTGCCTTGACAGGCAGCCCCTATCCCTCTGTGGTGGGCAGGCTTCAGGAAGGTGTGTGACCCAGAGAGTTTCCCAGGGTTTGTGCATGGATGTGATAAATCGTGATTGGTGGTTAACTTAATTTGGTATTTAGACCCCAGTTCATTGACATGATACAAGTGACTTCTAACAAGACAGAAGTTGTTTTGGAGCATGGATTTCTTTGGCTTTCCTTCTTTAGGGTTAGGTAAATAAATCTTTGGATAGGTTACTATAATATCTGTTTGGGTTTGGGTTTGTGTGTTCTAACTACCAAAACTTAGTACATTAAGTTAAACTATTGGAACTATAGATGGGCTTGAAATTCTGGAGTTTCATTTGCCTCATTGCCTGTTCTGTTCATGATCTGCAAGTAGAGTTATTCCCTTGGACAGATGGGTATAACAGACAAATCCTTTCGTGACCTTCCTCCAAAATGTTAGTTCTTCATTTGTCATGCTTTTAATTTAGATTTTCTTTTACTTTTAAAATTGATGATAGTTTTGGCTTAGGAATTTCTTGTAGAAATACAGGAAGAAAGAAACCTTTAGACCAGATTTTCTTGTTATGAAAAAGACTGTGTTAGCCTGGTATACATAAGATCTATCTAAGATAGCAACCCAGAATTGGGCTGTCACTCACAACTTCTGGTAGAGTTAAGTGTCTGATGTGTGGTGTATTGGACTGAGATTTAAGCCAAGTAGAATCGTTATCTCACAGCTTCTGGTTCTTGGGCAGCTTTGCATGCTCCCTCCTCCTCTTCCCTTCCAGGCCCAGGTTATCATCTGTTTGCATTGTCTGTCTGACATGACATATTGTCCACCCAACCACAAGCCATAGTCTGGACAGAGGTCATTCATTCTTCATCAGCTCTGGTTTTCCAGGATGGCTGGTTTGGTGAAATTCTGGTCCGGGATGCTCTCCAACTTTCACAGGCCAAATGCAACCTGTACATTGTCCTCCACAGACAGGAGTGTCTGGAGGATGGTACCATCCCCAC